ATGATCTGTGAAAAGACCTAGAAATGCCCAGGACCTGACATTTTGAACACTGGTATGGTAACCGACTGATTAGGTAAGATGCAGATAATTATATTATTATATATTTTAATACACAAGGAGGCTCAGAGGGACTAGATGACTTACTCAAAGGCCACAGAACTGAAAATTGGTACTATGTATATTTAAATTTAGGTGTGATCACTTCACAATTCAAAATCCACTGCATTCTGTGGCTTCCATTTTCATGTTAATTTATTTTTCCTCCTTGGAGGAAGAAGAACAGAAATTCAAGCAGTTGGGAGCAAAGAGGCCCCAGGAAAATACTGTAAAAGAGAGCTCCCATCCAGAAGTCAGGCTATCTTGACTTTGCTTTCTGGTCTGCTCCCAGGTCTGGTCCCAGGCCTGGTCCCAACTAGCCCTGTGTCTCATTGCTGCTACAAAATACCTGAAAATGCTACTTTAGGAAAAAGGGTTTGTTTTGAATTACAGACACAGGGGATACAGTCCATCATGGCAAAGAAGTTACCATGGGCACAGTCAGAAAGCCATGAGCCATGACTGCTAGGGCTCAGATCACTTTCTCCCTTTTACGCAGTCTGGGATCTCAGCCCATGGAATGGTGCCACTCACAATTAGGATGGTCTCCCCACATCGGTTAACCTATTCTAGAAAACTCTCAGATATGACCAGAGATTTGTTTCCATGGCGATTCTAAATTTCTTCAAACACAATTGAGACTAACTACCACACTCTGGGCTAGAAGGCAGAACCCTTCAAATTTTCAGTTTCTGTTTCTCAGCAGCCTCCACCTGCAAGGTATATCTCATCACAAAAAACTTAGCAGGCCCCCTGGCCTTCTGAGAACCAAGTATTTCTCCTTAGCATTTGACACCTGTTCTTTGAGGTTGTACAGAAATCAAGGATTTGAGATAGAAGTTTTAATTTTAGAGATCTGAAGTATGTTTTTACTGTTGTCCCTTCAAATAAACATTACTTGAAGAATTCCAAGATTTGGAACCACTGCTGGAGGAAGGGGTCATTTTTCTAAACCCACACCTGTGCTCGTACAAGCAACCCTAATTAAACTCAGTGGGTCATAACTCTCTTTGTCTCTATCTCAGTCTCTGTCTCTCTGTCTCTCTCTCTCTCACGCACACACACACACACGTATGTGCATGTACATACGAAGACATAAAAGAGGGACGAGGACTTATTGAGAAAATGAAGCATTTCATTGGGAGCAGGAAGACGATAAGGAATTATAATAGAGGTGTTGGGTAGGCGTCCTCCAAAAATCTAGAACTGAATGGGGCGGGTCTAGAGACCTATGCTGAGAGACATTGAATGTAATGGAGGGGTAACTGCCATTTTGGACTCAGGGAACAGAGCAGCACGTGAAAAACTGGCGGAGACTGCAGGTGGGGCATGCTGATGGCAGGGTTTCAAATATGGGAAAGAAAAAGCCTATGAGAATCCATGCCTTTTAAGTCACCCCCTCCAGGATGTCATAAACTATGCAAAACCCAAATAGAAAGTATTCTGTCAGTTTTGTCAGCCCTGGGACCCACAGAGGGCACGCGCTTGTGGGTCTCCCAAGGAGGGGTCGGGGGGATTTGGCATAATGGGGTGAATATAATCAAAATATATTCTATACACATATGAAGCTGTCAGAGGATGAATAAAGATATTCATTTAAGTTTGGAACCATATATCCACCTATTCATGAATGACATTGCATTATAGCCTTGTTAAAAGTCTCAGAGAAATGGACCAAGTTGGGCAGTAGGGGTGGAGATGGAAACTGGGAAGGTGGGGGCAGACCAGCATGTCAGCATAGGAGATGACCACTTCTGGTCTTCTGTGTCCAGGGCTTTTGTGGATTGGTTCCTCACTCTCATTCTGCATGTGCTGATCATCATATAAAGGGGGACATTGGTTCCTTCTTAAAGCTGATGTAAAATACCATGGCAGTTACTTAGACATTTAAAATTTTTTGAAGTTATAGAATTGAAAAACACATAAAGAAGTCTCATATTGTCCATCCATAGTCCTGAAACATTGGCGTTTGGCCAGATTTGCTTTATTGTTTCTTTTCACACACATCGTCTGACATGCTACCGCCAAATATCTCAATGCATATTTCTAAAATTAAGGCTGTTTTCTCATCTAATCACAGTGTAACTTTCAAATCCATGTAACTTGTAATTTCATGAAATTAACATTGCCATAATACTAATATATAATTTATAATCATATTAAAATGTCTCTAAGTTGTTCTAATAAATGCTCTTAATAGCAAAGGGAAAAATTATCCACAGCATACACAATAGCATTAGTTGTTAGTTGTCTTTAGTCTCATTTAATTTGGAATCATTCCTTAGTTATTAACATATTTCCTTTTATGACCTTGCCATTTCAAAATATTTTATTACATTTATTGTTTGTGTATGTGTGTGTGTGTGTGTGTGTGTGTGTGTACACATGTCACCTAGTTCATATGGAGGTCAGAAGACAACTCATGAGAATAAACTCTCTCCATGTACCTTGTGGGTTCCAGGGATCAAACTCAGTTTGTCCAGCTTGACAACAAAGTGCCTTAACCCTATAAGCCATTTTGCCAGCCCATCCTTGTCATTTTTTAAAGAGTACAGAACAATTCTGTGTAGAATGTTCCTCCTTATGATTGTATTCTGAGGTTTTAGCTGATGTTTCCTTATGATCATATTTAGATTGTACATTCTGGATAGGGATTCAAGCTCTGCTTTCTTGGGAGAGTTTCAGGTTGAGCTTTAATTGGGTGGGGTTCAGGTTGAACTTTCTGGGCAGGGGTGCAGATTGTGCATCCTGGCCAGAGATTCAGTTTGTGCATCCTGGGCAGGGTTTCGGGTTGTGTATTCTAGGAAGAGATTCGGGTTGTACTTTCTGAGACTGAAGATTCAGGTTGTGCGTCCTGGGCAGGAATTTCATGGGAGCTACTGGGTTTTCAGTGCTGCCTGCGAGCAGGTATTGATGCTCACTGTCTCCTGACACTGAGTATGTTTACACTCATCACTCATCTCTCCCCAGGTTTCAGGTTTCTCCACCTCCAAGGCATTATTCACCCTGGTAACTAATAAGTATCATGTTTGGAGATGATTTCTAATCACTTAAATATCCTGTTTCTCACCATACTTTAGCCCACCAGTTTTAGCAACCATTTTAGGAATCTTGCCTGAAAATGTTATGGCTGTTAGTTGCCAAATGGTAGCTTTTCTCATTTTATTTTTCTTGCTTCATTTATTAGTTGAAATTCTACACCATTGGTTTTGTGATGACATTCCTGAAGGACTCCTTCTGTTAGAGGGAAAATATCTGTACCAGTTTGAATCCATAGAAGTAAAAACCTCCTTTCCTCCTCTCCTCAACCCCAGAGCCCAGGTATTCAGCCGATATGCAGAGTTATCTGGCCATTTATGGTGGCTATTTCTGTTTGTGGTGACAAAATTCCCAACCTTCCAAGGTAAGCTACATGAACACACACACACACACACACACACACACACACACACACACACAGACACACACCCCTTAGAAACTGGCTTCTAAAGCTAAAGGTGTCTTTTAAACATTAACTTCCAAACCTTTTTCAGGTCATGCCTGGCAAGTTGGCATTCCATGGATGTCTATTCCCTTCCCTTCTAGCTCTGTGCTGCTCTGTTAAGTACAAAAGGAGCTATTCAGTGTAATTTGTAAAATATTCATATCCAGGAATTTAACCTGATTCTTATTAATTTTCTAAATTTAAGTAGTATGTATAGGAGACATAGTAGAGAAGGAACATCATAATAATCGGTGAGCAAATGTAGGAAACTCTACATGGCAAACAACCCAATCTCTTCAAAAAATAAATTACAAGGGAAAAAAAAAGAGGGAACCTATAGGGCTGCAAAGATGGTTTAGTGGGTAAAGACCCCCACCACACAAGCCTAGCAACTTGAGTTCAATCCTAAAGGTGGAAGGAGAGAACCAACTCCATAAAGTTATCCTCTGAGTTCTACATGTATGCTGTGGCACTCTTGTCTCCCCAACCCATATCATGTACACATGCAATCATAATAATAATAGTAATAATAGTAATGCCAGACGTGGTGGTGTATTCTTTTAATCCTAGCCCTTGGGAGGCAAAAGCAGGTAGATCTGTGAGATCTGTGAGATCTGTGAGATCAAGGCCACTGTGGTCCATGTAGTGACTTCCAGGCAGGCTGGGACTAGGGAGACACTGTCAAATTAAAAAAAAAAAAAAAAAGCCAAAAAAATAAAGATAAAATAAAAGATAAAATAAAGGGGACTTATAAATGAAAAAAATCTATGAGAAATATTAAATGTGAAGTTTATACGTCCAAGGATCTTGACAGACACAGTGTGAGTGTGCGTGTGTGTGTGTGTGTGTGTGTGTGTGTGTGCATGTGTTTTAAGGTATTTACCAGACTTTCAGAAAAATTTGAACACTGGCTATTTTCTAATGTGAAGTAGTTATTTTTAATATTTAGATATGATAGTGATATATTGATTATGTTTCTAAGTCATATTTTATGAGCACTTACTCAAGCAAACATTTGTAGATGAAATTTGATGATTCTGCGGTTTGATCACAGATGATCTTTTGGGTGGAAAAGTGGGCAGGAATATACACAAAACAAGACTGGCTATATGAACTGATGATTGCTGAAACTGGATACACTGTATACCACACTTACCGTAATAAAAGTGCCTTAAGGCATCAGTTATCTCAAAATCACTGTGCTTTTCTTTGATGAATAGGTCAGTTTTGAAGTAGAATCCTATAGCTTTGAAAAGTAAGTTATCACAATTTTAATATTTATTCTTTTACACAATGCCTGAAATAATTTGAGCATGAATATAGTAAGCCCTAAGAAAGTATGTCTCCTCCAATTAGACTATGTGTTGATCCTTCTATCATACTGGAAGCCAAGGGCTAACTGTTCTTTCTGTCCATCCAGGTCAGCCAAGGGTTGATATTATACCAGCATATGGATCTTGAGAACACAGGTTGGACCGTGGAAGACTCTTTCACGTTCACAGCATCCTCCCCTCCTGCAGCTCTGGGTCCTGAGGACTTCCAGATTACCATTTCATATGATATTAATGAACCTGGCCGACACAGCCGCCTGCTTGCAAATACAGGTACTGGCCAAATCTGGTCAGTGCTTTATAGTAAAAGAAAGACAATTTGGAATTAGGTCTTTCTCCTTTTGTCGGTGTCATATCAACCTTTGAAATAAAAGTTATGGCAAGCCATTGTTTCTTCGCATGCACTCGTTCACTTCTTCTCTTAGGCATAAAGGCTGTGTGGAGGAAGTGTGGGAATTTGGCTTTAAAGAACTCCTCCTAATGGGAAATTTATCACGCAGGTGACTGAAATTGGAAAAGATGAACTAAAAGCTATACCTTTATCCATAGCAATATAACTCTAGTCATGGACAAGCTAGGAATTTAGTATCTTATAAGTGACTCCAAAGGCTTTAAAGCTTGTTTCCCTGAAATATTGACTTAAGTGTGCATTTATATCTGTTTGTTTGCTTTAGGTTAACATACAGTGCAGTGGGTTTCATTATAGCGTCTTCAGTCACACATGTCCTAACCCTTTATTCTTAATCTTCCCACTCCCCACTTGCCTTCCTGGGGGCCCTTCCTCTACTCCAGCTGTTTCCCTTTCTTCCCCCACTTTAGCACTCCCCTTCTACTTTCTTGTCACATGTCACATTACCCCCTCAACTTCCCACCTCCCTTCAGATCTCTTCCTCCTCCCTTATACTCCATAATCCTGTTTCTAGTTTTATGACTTACACACATATTTAAAATACACACACACACACACACACACACACAATTTTTAAATCTAGGATCTATAGGTAAGAAAAAGTTGCAGTATTTGTCTTTCTGAGTCTCTTCTTAGTTCTCCTAACAAAATCATTTTTAATGATCCTGTATAAGATTCAATTGTGTATATGTACTACAATTTATCAGTTTATTTGTTGATAGACTCAAGGCTGGTTCTATTTTCTGGCTATTGTGGAAAATGTAGCAATAAAAATATATCTGCAAGTATCCCTGTGGGAGTTGATGTGGATCTTTGGGTACATATATCCAAGAGTGTTAACTAGGTCATGTGGTAGTTTTATTTTCAATTTTTAAAGATACTTTCATACTGATTTCCCTAGAGATGTATTTGTGTTTAACTTTTTATTATTTTTCATATGCTAATTCAGATACTTGAGTAATTCAAGTGTTTAATCCACTGAGAGGTAAAGTTTGGAGAGAAAGTTTTTCATTTGAAAGTTCTAATAAAATATCTTTTTTCTTTAAATGTTTTCTTAGGAGCTGCTGTCGAAGAGGGAGACAGAGTTCTCATTGATCAAGCTAAATTGGATGCTTCTAACCTCTTACTTCAGCTGCCCCCACCTCAGCGTTCTTCCCATGAAATCTGGTTCCAGGTTACAGTTCTTCCTCACCATGGAACCATTATGGTTGGAGAAAGAAACATTACCACAGGAAAACCCAATTTCTCCCAGTATATAGTTAATAAATTCGGAGTCACGTACCTTCATGATGACTCTGAGTCACTGGCTGATAATTTTACCTTTGCTGTTTGGCCAAACCCAAAGAGCAAGTCTACCACCAAGCCAGAGGCTGACTTTCTGGAAGAGATGTTCAACATCACCATCACTCCTGTGAATGACCACACTCCAGAATTAAAAACTAAAGGGCTTCAGTTAAAAGTTCTGCAGGGCAGTAGGTTGATTGTGGGACCCGAAATCCTCAAAGTAGAAGATCTAGACACTCCTCCAAATGAAATCCAGTATATGATCATCCGTCATCCCAACAATGGCCTTTTGGCAATGGCTCATGATCCAGACACTCCTGCTCACCACTTTACACAAGCTGATATTGATAACTTGCAGGTGTGGTTCATACAAGACGGAAGCCCAACTTCTGGAGTGTTTTACTTTAGTGTGACTGATGGTGGACATCGCCCTCTGTACAAGCTCTTCTACCTGGATGTCATCCCTATTTCCATCACTCTTGTGAACCTCACAGACCTGATTCTCCCACAAGGCCAGACAACAGTCCTCATCACCAATGCTCACCTGTCAGCGGTGACCAATGGAAGGAGCCTTCAGATCAACTACAAGATAACACGGCCCCTCCAATGTGGGCACCTCCTGATTGAAAACCAGGTGGTCACCAGCTTTGTGCAGGAGGATTTGGATTCAGGAAGACTCTCTTACCACATGACAAATCTTACAGCCTCAGAAGATCAGCTGCAGTTCTCACTGTTTACATCAGAGAGCAACTTGACAGGGCAGACACTGCACATCAGAGTTCAGCCTTTATTGTGGGTTATATCACACTTGAAAATTGCCAACAGAGTGGCTCATCAGCTGCGGAAAAAGGACCTAGATGCAACTGAGCTTGCCAACAGGACTAACAGTGATCCCACATTTGAAGTGACAGAACCTCCCATCCACGGAAGACTTGTACGGAGAGCAGGAAGAGCAGTCGACAGCGCTGTGATGGAAGAGGCTGCTCTGTTCACCCAGAGCGACATTAACCAAGGGATTGTGGTGCTTGAACCACATGCAAATCTAACTGGATTTGATATGTTGAATGATTCCTTCACTTTCTTGCTCAGGGCAAACCATGTACAGCCAGCAACAGGGTCTCTCTCTTTTACCATAGTGCCACCTGATCCCTTACTTTTGCAGACATTTACACCAGATGTTCCTCTATTACTCCCTAGGGACAGCCTCATGACCTCAGCATTTTCTCAGAAAACACTAGAGACTTCTACAAGACCCACAATACAAAAAGAAACTATGGGGAACCTGATCCAGAGCAGATGGCAGGAAACAGATGCCTGGGGACAGCACAGTGGCAAAGAACCAAGCATAGATGGTAAAATTTCCCCCACCAGGGTCATTTGGCCACATGCTGCCACCAAAGTCCATCCTGGGGGACCCATACAGCCCAGAGAGAGCAGTTACCCTCTGATGGTCATCATACCCTTGGCTGGCCTGTTCCTCTTGCTGATAGTAACTGCGGTGGCATTGTGTGTCTGGTTGTTGATCCAGAAGGAAGAAAAGACAAAACCTCTTCTCAAGCCCAGGGCTAACCTAGAATCCCCATCTCCAAGCTGCACACCTGAAAGGAGTGTCGCGATTCCCACTGTCACAGTGACACCCCTTATAAAAAGCTCCAGCAACCCCCCTGCCAGTCTTTTTAGACCCCCAGAGGATGAGCAGATGACTTCACCAGGGACTGAGTCCATGGGAAAATGTTCTCCTTGGGAAGCATGGGTTAACTTGGATCCCGACATGGCCAAGCTCTGTCGGCAAACCAACCCGGCACTGAAACACAACCAGTACTGGGTATAGATTGAAGACTCTTGTCTGTTCCCCTCCTGTCGCCTCTTACTGATCTACAGTGGACCAGCGCTAGGATATGAACTGGACTGTAACCATGAAAGAATACTAGTTGAATCAAGGAAGGCCTGGCTTTAATCGTTACTCGCGGCTCAGTCATGGCCCCATGGTGTTGGTGGGTATTGGAATGCCTGAATAGCGCTCATGGGCTTTCCACAATGGGCCCTCACCTGGACCTCACATTCTCAGAATACAGAAATTTCTGTCAAAAATTGAACTCTACTAAGGTGCTACTGAGCATGTTGGTCCCAGTGGAAGTAGCAGTATTAGCTTGGGACATAGAATAAAAGGTGGAAGTCTTGGCTATTTGTCACGGAGGATTCACTCAGAGTGAGTCAGCAGGAAATGCAAAAGCTATCTCAGCAGAAGAAGACGTAATTTGTCACATCAATGAGTTTGTATAATGCTTGTCTGTCATGCCTTTTCCTCCCTGGAATCCTCTAGGTTTGTTTTCCTCATGCAGGAAATGCCTTCATGTTCCAGATAACAAGGCAGTCTGACCTCTTTTGAGGACACTCACTGAATACATTGTGTTTCATCAAGAAGCATTGTCTAATCTGATTTGTAAACTCAAGAAATATTATTTGAAGCCTGAAGGGACAGAAAAGTTTGTTAAATGCTTTCTCCAATCCCTGAATTTGACTTAATTTTACAATGAATTGAAATAGTCATAAATCTGCATTTGAATTGTCTACCTGGACCCACTGTTTGCCAAAGCTAATTTCTGTAACTGTAAAATGAAGCCATTAGTGCTTATATTAAGAATATTTTACCTGAAAATTGCAGTGTACTCAACTATAGGTGATTTTTTTGTTTTGTTTTGTTTCATTTTGTTTTATTTTGTTTTGTTTTGTTTTGCTGGGAATCACGCGCAGGGTCCTGTGCACACTAGGCAAGGACTTTACCACTGAGCTATCACCCCAGCACCTCATTTGTTTTTTGTTTTTTTTTTATTTTTTTAAAAAATTTTTTGTGGATTTCATACAGAACATCTCAAACAATTTTAATCATTTTATACCTCCATTCCCACTGGCACCCTCCCCTAGCTACCCCTCCCCCAAATGGAGCCCAAATACTCTGTCATCCCTGTTAAGGCCCACTGGGTTGTCATCATCCCCAGCTATTCTCCAGTGCAAGTCTGTTTACCAAGTCTAGTCAGCCTATCTAGAGTCCCTTGTTTTAGGAAGATCAGCAATTCTTCATCTAGCAGCAATCAGTTGCCAACATTTCTTCAGATAAGATTGAGGTCTACAGTTCATTTTCACAGTTCTATGTTGGGTTATTGTCTGCTTGAGTTTGCATGGGACTTGTGTGTGCTGACACCATTGCCATAGAATCATATGATCAGGTTCCCAGGAGCTTGTAGGACTCTGTTTCCATATGGTCATGTACGTCCTCGCTGGTGCTTACAATCTTTCTGCCCCCTCTTCCATGATGGTCCCTGAGCCTTGGGTGGGTGAAGTTTAATAAAGGGATCCTGTCCAAGGACCATTATTCAGCAGACTCTTGATTTCTACACTTTTGCTATTTGTGACCTTTTGTGTTCCTGGCCCTCTGCTGCATGAGGGAGCTTCATTATTGAGAACTGAGAGATTCATTAGTGTCTTCTTCTTTATCTCTGTTCTATGTTCCATGAGCCTTGGGTGTAGGGGTTGCATTGTAGATGTGCCACGTAGGTCTGGGCAATTCATAGACAGTGTTCACGTGTGACCAGTTATGGTACTTGGTAATAGTCTCTGGTGCAAAATGAGCTTCTTTGATGAGTGGTTACTGTGGTATTTGTCTGTAAACGTAAAGGTATATATTTTGCACATAGTAAGAAATCACATTAGTCTAGCGATGTGACATCTTAAGGTTTTTGCTAAGACCTATGGCCACTCCAGCCATGTGTAATAGGTTATGTTTACATTACCACACTTGAATTTCCTCCTTTGAGTGGGAGTTTAGTCAAATTAGGGTAGCTGTTGATTGCCCCCAAGATAAGAGTGTCACTACTGCACCAATGATAAATGCTGTGCTGGCCATCGATGTGGTTATTTGGTCTTGAAGCTGGCGTTGGATCATCCATTGGTGTTTTCCCTTGACACCTTCATAGCACTTTCCAAAGCTATGCGAGCTAGCCTTTGGGGGAAATGGTTTCAGGTCAGTTGCAGCTCTATTGCTCCAAATCCTGTGTTCAAAGTATGCTCTGTCTTTGGCAGTAGGGTTTTACCTTCAAGTTCGGGGAAGCCATCAAGGGCTGTGGCAATAGCCTGAGTAATTTTGGGAGTTTGAACCATCCTGGCCAACAACTCAAAGGAAGGTCTCTCCTGTCTGGCTGGTTATGCAGCCCTTAGCTATATACATGGACTCATGTAGTGATAATGTTTGTATAATTTGTCAGTAGGTTTGAACTAATATGGTTCCCTCTGCTTTTTTTTTTTTTTAACTAGCTAGGCATTATTTATCCTTTCTCTCTCTCTCTCTCTCTCTCTCTCTCTCTCTCTCTCTCTCTCTCTCTCTCTCTCTCTCTCTCTCTCTCTCTCTCTCTCTCTCTCTCTCTCTCTCTGTATCACCCTTCTGCTATGGTTTCCCCATTTAAAGTGCCCCCATTTTCCCCATTTCTCCTTTGATAATACTCATCACCTATGGTCTCACCTCTCTTGAGCTCCTTCTTCACTTTATCCCTTGTATAACCCTCCCTCCCCTATCCCATTTAAATAACCCCATTTTTATCCATTTCTCCCTTAGTAGCACCTTTTTCCTACTGTTCTCTCTCAGATTCTTTTCTGTTACCTCCCTGGTTCCTTCTACAGGTGGTTTAAACTGAGGTTATCAAACTTTTTCTGTAAAGAGTAACATAGTAAAGATTTGAGGTTTTGTGGGCCACACATGGTCTCTGCCATTCATTTTTCTTTCGTTTTTGTAAACAACCTTTAAAAAATATTTTATTATTTTTATTTTATGTGTATGAGTTATTGTCTGCATGTATGTGAGTACACCTGTGTCGTGCAATGCTGCCAAGGTCAGAAGAGGGCTTCGGATTCCCCTGGAACTGGAGTTAAGGACGATTCGTAGCTGCCACATGGGTGCTGGGAATCAAACCTGGGTCCTCTACAAGAGCAGTCAGTGCTCTCAACCTCTGAGCCATCTCTCCAGCCCCTGTAAACAACCTTTTACAAATGTAAAAACAGTTCTTAGCTCTTGAATTTGGCCATGGACTATTTGATTTGTTGGTCTTTGGCTTAGGAAATAGTGTCATTATCTCAATTAGTGGACATTCTGGAGGTTAGCACTCCAAGGCTGGTTCAGAAGCTCAGAGATAGTATCAAGGGCTCTCCCCTTGTTCTCCTCACTACCTCCCTCAAGCTGTTAGCATTTTCATTCTTCTGTTTAGTTCCTTGTGATTGTAAGATGGGTGCCAAAACTTCTGGGTCCAACTTCTGGGTCCTGACACAAGGATTAGGTTTGAAAAGAAATCACAGAACAAAGTGGCTTCTTTGTTAGACACTCATTTTATTCTTTTATTATTCATTTTATCCTTATAAGGAGAGTTTCTCCTCAAATACTTTATTCACTTTTATAGCTTATTGTCTATAACTGGGCAATATAATTCCTATCCCTCCACCAACCACTAGCAAAGGGAAATGGGATTCTTATGACTGATTATCTTTCCTGGGGCTGAGAGAAGTGTCTTCTCACATCAGAGATCACTGGCTCTGTGTACTGTGTGTTTAGAGGGGGATGAAGATATTAGATAGGCTGTACAGGTTCTATTAAAATACTCTTCAGGTATTGAAGTTCTTGGGCAACTAAGATTTTGATTTTTCAAATTGATGTCTATTTAAGGTCTTTTTCATGTTTAATGATTTTCTTAAAGGCCAGTGTTTCAGGGATAAGGATATTATCAGGATATTATCAATTTTAGGGTAAAAGTCCCAGCTCTGGGAGTCCCAACAGACAAAGCTCACACCTGACCCAATACACAAATTAAAGAGATAAGTAGAGCTGGGTGTGATGGCACATACCTGTAATCTCAGCACCCAGAAGACTGAAGCAGGAGGAGCACTGCAAGTTTGGGCTACATGGTGAGTTCCAGGCCAGCCTGTGCTACAAAGTAAGACTTTGTCTCAAACAAACAAACAAACAAACACCAACCAACAAATGAAAAACAGAAACAAAGCCAAACAATAAACATATGAGTAGTGGTGATGGGCAGAGAAAGGAGTTTTAATTAACTTGGCCACACTGGGGAGAAGAGAGAAAGGGGTGGCACCCTCCCCAAGTCGGTCTTCACTGTTTAAACAGAGGGGGCAGAGGACAAGACGTATGCATAAGGAGCAGTTTTGCTTGAAGTGTGATCTGGTTGGCCATTATCTTGGTTCTGGTTCTGCAAGCATAGTCCTTATGGCTTGGGGGACGAGCTGGTTCCCAAGAGATGATTGCTTCTGATCGATGTCATCCTGGGGTGATCTGTCAACAGAAACCTGCTGTTTCTGGAATGCAAGGTGACTGTATGTTTAGGACTGTGACTGAAGACCCTCAGCACCTTTTTGGGAGTCTGGAACAGAACATTGTAAGACTGAGAGTAAGATTCCCCAAGGCTCTTGTTTTGTATCTTCAGCCTTGAAGGGGGATGAGATGGGGGAAATGTCACTGGTTCTTAGACACTCCTTGAGTGGTTAACATCCCTAGAGTTAAGAAATCTAACCCACGGCTTTGGATTTTTGCCTTTCATCCCTGGCCATGGAAACTAATGTTACTGGAGCTTTTAGGGTCAGAACCTGGGGTCTGGCAGCCCTAACAAGCTAGGCTCTGCCACCTGTCCTTAGTAGGCCAATGAGAGAGACAAAGTAACCGTGAAAAGCCTCCAAGTCCGACTTCTGGGTCCTGACACGAGGATTAGATTTGAATAGAAGGCAAGAGGTATGCATGGCTAAGCAGTCCTGATAAAGATGAGGTACCTATCATGGGCCCATCATAGTTTCTAGCTCCAGTATCTCCTGCAAGGTGGTCTGACAGGTTGTCAGAAGTGTATGAAATCTCTTTCTTGGGGAGAAGTCCCCCTCTGGCTGGCAGCAGGATAAGCATTCTCCTCCCAGCATGAGACTGCTGGGGAAATTCCAATTTCTTGGAGTGCATTGTTTCAAGAACTGATAGATAAAGGGCGGGAAACAAGTGCCTTTATAGTATCTTCGAGCCAGGACTGTTAACACTAATGCTGCAAATTTCTCTATTCCTCCAAAAGTGTTTTTCTCCTGTGTTTCTGGATTTCTGTTATAAATTGCCCCTTCCTGGCATTTTAGAAAGGAGGAAGAATCAGAGTCTTAATCTAGGGATGGCTTGATCTAGATGTAATTCAGAATTGATCTTAGCCCCAATCTTACCCAAGCATTCAGAACAATAGTGCCACATGTACACACAGAAGGCTGAGGAACATCTTTGCATCTACTAAGTGGGCTTATCCTTTGACTGGGCAGTGCCTGTTCTCTGTGGAAGAGCCAGATGTCCTTGGCTCATAGACCCTGTTGGCTGCTGCTTCTGCTTCTGCCTTAAGATCTTTGGAACTAGGATTACCAGCCTGGCCAAACACGAAATCCGCTTCTCAGCCCTTTTCCCTACTAATTTTGTAACTCCAAACAACGAAAACGGGTGTCCATATTGAAAGGAGACTCAGACACTTAATAATTCACATTCTTGTTTGCAAGTATGCTTACTAGAACAAGGACAGTGTGAGCACCAGATGTCAAGCTTCATTGATTAATCAAATAATGCAGAGTATGGAAAGGTTTTTTTTTGTTTTGTTTTT